ATATCAAGGCTTTGCTAACCCCCCGTGACCTATGCAAGGCCCCGGGTTCAGGAACTACCAATCAGAAGTGAAGTGTTAAACGGGGGGGGTCTGGAGACTAACGTCAAAAAAACCACGGGTGATACTTCCCTAAGACACCCCCTCGTCCCCCCCCCCCACCCTTTTTTCCCCTTTAAAATTTGTCAATTTTTGTATCCACAAACTTCAGCCTCGTGCAATTTCAATCAGTTCTGGCACAGATGGTGTTCCATACCTTGTGGTGTAGGTAGTCATCATGTCATAGCCCCAACTTGCTGTCTCAAGTACTTGTTTCTAATATAGATGATCCTTCATGCTATAATGTCAGTCTGTCCAGTATCTTTTCTCTCGGTCTCCCACTGCCTCTTTCACCTCCAGATTTTCCCTGGTCACGATGTACTCCAGTTTTCTCTTTATGATGACATGACCCAGGAATGTAGATTGTCTCTTTCTGATGTGGGTAATCAGTTCTCTTTGTTAGCCAATCTCTATCAACATATTTTCATTACTCTTTTTAACTGTCTGTGGTGTTCTTATAATTCGTCTAGAAAAACCACATCTCCGCTGCTTCCACAAGATCTTTCATAATCGGCGAATTGTCCATGATTTACTTCTACAGCTTGCGAAAAAAAAATCGTTACGTTCAACCAGCATCCCTGAAGGGGGAGCTTTAGGTTATAGTTGTGACTAGGTTATGCGCGCCAAGTAAAATGGCTTAGCTTTGCTCGCCATCAGTAGCCCTGAAAAGAACTCCTGCAGTGTTGTTGTGATCACAGGAGACAGACCCAAAGACTGTCCCTACCGCGACGAAGTCGTCTACCGGCGACCCAGTGAGCCACCCGGTCATGACAATCACTTCTATATATCAGAATATTTTTTATATAGCGCTTGAAAATTCTCTTTCTTGTCTTAACTGACAAAGCCCCCGAACGAGTTCTAGGGCCCAATTTTGAGGAAAGCAAGAATAGATCCACTGCCTACTAAAAAAAATAATGTCGTAAGAGTCGACAAATTGGAAGTCGGAGTGCATCTTCCCAAGCGGCAAGTAACAACCATCTGCACACAAATAAGCCATTAAACTGTTGCACACGCAAAACTCAGACCCTACCTCAAAGCCAAAGACCAAATGGACGAACAATCAAGACTTTCTGCCGGAGGTGAACAAATAAAAAAGAATTTCTCAGTCTTAGTTTAAATATCTGGGAGCATTCACCGATGTTTGTAAATTGGCTGAACAAAGTTTACATGCAGAAGAGCATACCAAGTGTTGAGAACGCAAGCGCTCCTCATTCCCCCCCCCCCCCCCCCACAAAGAAACATATCAAACAAAACATATTCACTCCCAGCCTATCTAGAAGTGCCAAATATAATCACTGACAACAAACCAGAAAAGAAAATCAATACCCATGAAATGAGACGTTTGAGAAAGGCTGCAGGAGTGACCAGAAGAGATCAAGGCAGGAATGAAGTGAAAGTAGAAAAAGTCTGAACAGGACCAATTTCTGAATTCAGTACAAAGGCAACAAATAAAATGGTTTGCCCACTTTGAGAAAATGCTTTGCGACGCAATTACATACAAGGCCTACACCAAAAGAGCAGAGAGGCATAGATAAAAAGGAAGACCAATAACAAGATGGACTTGTAAGTGGGCTACGACGCCTAACTTGATTTTAGTTTGTACGACGGATACCTGGATTTGGTTTGATTTTACTTGTGAAGAATACCTGGTCACTATGTATAAAAAGGACCGGAAAGGAAAACACGGCCTCATCTTGACTTCCGGACTGAACCTGCAAGCGCTCGAGAGGCAGGAGACCTCGCTCAGCCAGCAGCTGATGCACGGTACATGTGCTCAGCAGCACGTGTTCAAACAACTGCATGGGAATGAACGGTTAGTCTGGCTCGTTGATGATGATAATGGTGGTACGTTTTCTATAGTTAGCCCTAAATTTGTCTCTAGTAGTTAAACTGTACAGAGATATATCAGGGCATATCATTGCTCGGAGATATTTCATTTTATTAGTGAAGTGCTTGTCACGTTGGTTGTTGTTAACGTATTATTTGTGAACAGCTTTTAGTACTGTCTTCTGTTCAGTGAAATAAACAGATGGTGAATGTGTAATCATAGTTCCAGTTGTTTTGATTCAGATTAAGACTAGTGGTTAGTGCACCTAGTTTACTTGTACTGCTAACTAGACTGTATAAAGAAAAGATCTCTTGTCTGGGCTAAAATATTTGTGATTCTAGTCGCCTCCTAACAAACTCTTTTTCCAATTTTTTCTTGGTACTTAGGATCTTTTTGCTTCTAGAACAGAAGGATATCTTCAGAGAAACTCTATAACAGCACAATGTATCTATGAGGGAGGAGGGTAGAAGAGCATGAAGCAAACTTTATCTCCCTGGGCAAGAGAAACGGTCAAAGAGCAGTGAAGAAGAAGAAGAAAAAAAAGTAGTAGCAGTAGAAGTAATAGTAGTAGTAGTGATAGTAGTAGTAGTAGAAGTAGTAGTAGTAGTAGTAGTAGTAGTAGTAGTAGTAGTAGTAGTAGTAGTAGTAGTAGTAGTAGTAGTAGTAGTAGTAGTTGTAGTAGTAGTAGTTAGTAGAAGAAGAAGAAGAAGAAGAAGGAAAGAAAAGAAGAAGAAGAAGAAGAAGAAGAAGAAGAAGAAGAAGAGAGAAGAAGAAGAAGAAGAAGAAGTAGTAAAAGAAGAAGAAGAAGAAGAAGTCGGAAGTAGAAGGAAGAAGAAGAAGAAGAAGAAGAAGAAGAAGAAGAAGAAAAAAAAAAGAAGAAGAAGAAGAGAAGAAGAGAAGAAAAGAAAGAAGAGAAGAAGAAGAAGAAGAAGAAGAAGAAGAAGAAGAAGAAGAAGAAGAAGAAGAGAAGAAGAAGAAGAAAGAAGAAGCTTTAGACCGGCAATGGTGATGATTATGCCTATTGCAAATTAATTATACGCGTGTGTGTTCCAAGGCCTCATTGAGGGAAGGTGGAAAAAGGGGGGGGGGGGGGGGAGAAGGGGAAGAGGAGAGAGGGTTGAGAGTATGGACCCATTTCTCCTTAACAAGCATGTCGAAAAGACAACTAATCGCGAATTTGTCAAAATCCGATGTGTTTATCTGAAATAGACAGATATCACATCTTAATTAACGTCAAACCACAAAACAATGTTCCAACTGCCCATTTTCATGTCGAATGCAGAAAAATAAAAATAAAATCAAACAAATAAGAATGGAATTGTTTGCAAATTTTCTTTTGTCCCTTCCAGAAAGTATGCACTGATGTTGTCTTGTGTTACTGGTGCGACTAAAACAAATAAGAATGGAATTGTTTGCAAATTGTCTTTTGTCCCTTCCAGAAAGTATGCACTGATGTTGTCTTGTGTTACTGGCGCGACTGGGACCCTTATCATGACACTCTGTGTGGACTGTCGAGTCTTATGAGATGCTGTTTATAGGCAGAACCATCAACGGCTTTGCATTAGGTATTGCTGATCTTTTTTTGTGTGCATACTAATTTCTATGTTAATATAACTTCTATGTCGAAGATATACTAAGGGATTACCCGGCGGGTTTCCCACAAAGCAGAACCATAGATCAGATATTCATTTTACGACAAATAGCAGGACACAACTGGGAATCTAGAAGAGATGTGTTGCCTTTAGCGATTAATTGTGAATGCAGTTATGGTGTGGTTTTTTCTTCTTCTTCGTCTTCTTTGCGTTAGGTTTTGTATATGCTCAGATCAGACCATCAGGTTTGTTGCCTCTATGAACTCGCATGTCAGTAGCAGGTCCTTTCATGTTTCCCCATAGCTTGCTCTGCACACTTTGCCCTGGTCTCCCAGATGCGAAGAGCTACCATCAGTATTCTGGGATGGATCCCTTCGAGGCTCGGGCTCCGGCGCTGTTCCCGCCCTGCTGATATATTTTAACTCCTGACTGAGGCCTTATGTATTCATTGCGCGTGTATGCTGTTGGATTTGCTAAGACTGCAGTTTGTGTCTATTTGTTTCACAAGATACATTGATGGACATTCTGCGTGGCTTTCGTTGGCACAGGAATGGAGCTGTAGAGATAGAAGATCATTATGGCCTGGAGAGAATGAGGCATCTGGGTGTAACCAGAGAGTCTGGCCGGCTTAATACATTCAGAGGAAAGGTAAAACGGACATATAACCAAATTGTGACCGGTACCATCAGTATTGGAACTACGCTGGCTGCTGAAAATGAGGACTGAGCATACATGGGAATGCCCCGAGTGCTGTGTAATGAATTCTTTACTCAGCTCAACCCAGGCATGGGGCAACTAGGGGTCCCCAGTTTGCTATAAAGCTGCAACTGCGAATGCTCGTTATCCTTACGTCCTCTTTAGGATGTAATTATTTGTTATTTGAAGCCCCACTCTGGCTTTTGTCAGGGGCCGCAATATAGGCAGGCCATAAATATGGCCAATTGTCTGAACGCCGTTTCTAGGACCTCTCCACGGTGATCCTCACCCACATGGTGGCACTTTGTGTCATCGGGTGTTTATCGCTTGTGTCATGTCCTAGTGGGGTAGAAAGTCAGTCAGTCAGTCAGTCAGTCGGTCAAAGCTTGATAGCTCAGACATTTAGTTTCGAACGAATTTAACTAGCTTTCGTTCCATATCTTCAGTGTTTCTCCAACCATCGCTGACATATGTGAAGAAATTGACATAACATAACAAATGAAACTACGTTACTTACAAACAACTGTTATTTCCAGGATGGGGTCTTGGTCTGGCTCCTACCTACATCATGGAGATGTGTCTGCCTCACCAGAAAGGAACAGCCGCCATGGCCAGCACGATAGCCCAAAGTGCAGCATTAGTTGTATGTCACGTGTGTGGGTTCGAAGAGTTGCTTGGCAACCGAGAGCGTTGGCTCTATCTGATTGGTTGGTGTGATGTTTGTTATGTTTGCTGTACAATTCTTCTTTTTCTTCTTCTTCCTCCTCCTCCTCCTCCTCCTCCTCCTCCTCCTTCTTCTTCTTCTTCTTCTTCTTCTCTTCTTCTTCTTCTTCTTCTTCTTCTTCTTCTTCTTCTTCTTCTTCTTCTTCTTCTTTCTTCTTCTTTTCTTCTTCTCTTCTTCTTCTTCTTTCTTCTTCTTTATTCTTCTTCTTATTCTTCTTCTTCTTCTTCTTCTTCTTCTTCTTCTTCTTCTTCTTCTTCTTCTTCTTCTTCTTCTTCTTCTTCTCTTCATCCTCCTCCTTAAAGTTCACCGGACATAAACTCCCGTTAAAAGTTCTGATTGTTCATCTACTTTTGTCTTGATATAGAACTTGAGTTTCACGGATCTGGTTTATTTTTATACAGCCTGTTAGTTCCTTCCCTCCCAGCCAGATACATTGTGACTTTGAAGGAAGCACCCCCAATTAGTCGTTTCCTACCAAATGCTTGTCAGGAGGCAGAGGGTCTATTCTTTGTTCTCCAAAATGTAATCCACGAACCCCAACTATGATTTGTTTTTGTTGTTGTTACAGCGCTTTAAAAATACCCTACCCCAGATGACGTCACAGGACAGTCCAACATTTTAGAGGATGGTAAGACTAGGTTTCCCAGCATTCTGATGCCTTTAACGACCCCAAAACATATGGTACTGGCCCTAACCTCAACCCACCTACGTCCCTCAAGAGAGTACAGCCTATGTCCCATGCCTGCATGCAGCCTATCACCCCCCCCCCCCCTGAAATATTAGACTGGCCCGTGACCCGTGGATTTCCCTTGTTGTGGTAGGATATTAATAAAGCACCGTTGTAACATTTATTATTATTTGTTTCATTTTCTTCTGTTTTTTTTTTTTTTTTAACTGGTAGCTCTAGCAATGGTTTAATTTCAATTTTAAATTATTGAGAACTCTAGAGCTTCGGTCGGAGTCTCAGATTATACATATACCTTTCTTATTATATGTTACGGTTTGTTTTCCTGCTACAGGTTTGCCCTTGATATTGCTGTGTCTGCAGTTGATTCTTCTACCACTGTGCCCACAGAATCCCAGATATCTGCTAATGAAACGGAACGACGAGCCAGGGGCTATCAGAGGTGATACGCTGCTACTGTTTCTACTGTTACATTACTGACGCTGATAGTTTTTTTTTTACTCTGCTGTCGTTGCTACTACTGATAAATTGCTATTACTACAGCTGTAAATAATCTTCTTCTTCTTCTTCTTCTTCTTCTTCTTCTTCTTCTTCTTCTTCTTCTTCTTCTTCTTCTTCTTCTTCTTCTTCTTCTTCTTCTTCTTCTTCTTCTTCTTCTTCTTCTTCTTCTTCTTCTTCTTCTTCTTTCTTCTTCTTTTTTCTTCCTTCTTCTTCTTCTTCTTTTTACTACTTTCTCTTCTTAGGCTACTACTACTACTACTACTTCCTTCTTCTTCTTCTTCTTCTTCTTCTTCTTCTTCTTCTTCTCTTCTTCGTCTTCTTACTTCTTCTTCTTCGTCTTCTTCTTCTTCTTCTTCTTCTTGCGGAGGAGTCTTCTTCTTCTTTCTTCTTCTTCTTCTTCTTCTTCTTTTCTTTTTCTTCTTCTTCTTCTTTCTTCGTACACTTCTTTCATTCTTCTACTACTACTACTACTACTTTCTTCTTCTTCTTCTTCTCTTCTTCTTCTTCTTCTTCTTCTTCTTCTTCTTCTTCTTCTTCTTTCTTCTTCTTCTTCTTCTTCTTCTTCTTCTTCTTCTTCTTCTTCTTCTTCTTCTCTTCTTCTTCTTCTTCTTCTTCTTCTTCTTCTTCTTCCTTCTTCTTCTTCTTCTTCTTCTATTTTATCTTTTCTTCTCTCTTCTTCTTCTTCTACTCTACTTTCTTCTCTTCTACTACTTCTTCTTCTTCTTCTTCTTCTTCTGATTCTTTCTTCTTCTTCTTCTTCTTCTTCTTCCTCTTCTTCCTTCTTCTTCTTCTTCTTACTTCTTCCTTCTTCTTCTTCTACTTCTCTTCTTCTTCTTCTTCTTCTTCTTCTTCTTCTTCTTCTTCTGTCTTCTTCTTCTTTCGTCTTCTTTCTTCTTCTTCTTCTTCTTCTTCTTCTTCTTCTTCTTTCTTCTTCTCTTCTTCTCTTCTTCTTCTTCTTCTTCTCTCCTCTTCTTCTTCTTTCTTCTTCTTCTTTCTTCTTCTACTTCGCCTTCCCCGTCTGTTAAATCCGGCGGAAAGTACTGGTTATTCGTCCACTTCTGGACTGCAGTCCTGTTTCAGGACCTGAGTGTTGCGTGTGCATCCGTTTGACAGATCTAACTCATTTACGTGCAGACAGTTGGTTCCTTGCCTCTGAGGCAGATGCACTCCGACTTTGAAGGAAGCTCCAAATTAGTCGACTCTTACGACATGCTTCTGGGTAGGCAGTGTATCTATTCTTGTTTTCCCTTTAATAGGGCCCCGGAACCCACACAGAGAAGCTATGAATAATGTGTTTGTTCTAGTGCTGCACACGAAGCAGCCGTGGTGTTGTGGATAGAAGCTCGCCCCCTGTACCAAAGGTCGTGAAGTCCTGGAAAGTGAAGGCGGCCGGCGTGTTGTTAGCCACATCACCCACCTAGAGTAAATTTGTCTGCACATTTATGGTCTTGCTATATACAATTAAAAAAAAAAAAAGTTAATCGAGAGGTTCTACTTCATTGCACCTCGTTTTATACCATATGGCTCGGTTTTGTCTCCTCAGAACGGCTAACAGCCTGCCGAAAGCGCCGCGCAGAGCACGATCTCTGTAGCTCTGGGGACGATAGCCAGAAATATCTCTACAAATTACACTTATGAACTGAAGGGTGCCGCCGTGGAACGAATCCACTGCCTTCAGAGCGCGAGACATACGGCTTGACCACTTCGCCACGGAGACCCTCACTCTAGCCCTATATGCCCAATACGCGTGAATGTGTAGAAAAGGATCCTTGACTTTAATTATTATGTGCTTGAGAAAAATAAAGACGTTGGAATCGCTTGCATCGTTTAGTAAGACTCAGATAAGCATTTTGTCGGGAATCTCTCTCATCCCCCCCCCCCACCACCTTAATCAGGTTGGGCCCATTGAATTTACCTCACGCTACATCCCCTCGCCAACTTTTAAGAATATGTGGTTTAAACACAAACAAACAAAAGCGGGGGGGGGGGGGGGGGGGGGAGTCATTTAAAAACTGTTAACAAGAACCTGGAGACAAGCGTCCCGGTGTCAAATAACAAAATTTTCAAATTTTTCAATTTGTAATTAAACTGATATAAAAATATTAGCGTAAACGATTATTACAGATGCATGTGTACGCAATTACGCGCTTCAGGTTGAAATCCACTGTTCTAGCATCTTACGCACAAGCCAATCTTATCTTATCTTATCTTATCTTATCTTGTCTTATCTTATCTTATCTTGTCTTATCTTGTCTTGTCTTGTCTTGTCTTATCTTATCTTATCTTATCTTATCTTATCTTATCTTATCTTATCTTATCTTATCTTATCTTATCTTATCTTATCTTATCTTATCTTATCTTATCTTATCTTATCTTGTCTTGTCTTATCTTATCTTATCTTGTCTTATTTTATAACAATATTTCCCGCCCGATACGTCTTAGACTTGAAGGGTGTCCTTTACATAAGTTAAGTAATTTACTTTCGAAAAAGGTGACGCGAATCTTAATTGTTAGTGATTTGTCTGCACTACAATGATAACAAATTAACAAAATACACAGCATGTGATTGTTTTTCCCCATAGCTCTACAGCTAATTCGTGGCAAAGAGGACGTTGCAGACGACGTTAAAGAAATACGCAAAGAGATGGAGCAAGAAAACAAAGAAACACAGGTATAGTGTGTATTGATAGGTTGAAAGGATGTTTGATAAGGTGAAACATTATACTGTTAGACAGACTGTGGGAACTACACCTTGTGTCTATTTAATTAAGAAATGGTGGAAGATCAAATGGTTTGGCCATCTTGTTAAAATGCAGGCAGAAAAACAACTAACACAGACGCTACGTATGAACAGGTAAGAGTAAGACACCGCCCCAGGAGTATATGGATTATTGACATTAAAAACCTTCTACATCAACACAGAAAGACAGCAGCAATGGAGTTCAAACCGTTCCTCCCCATGTCTTGTAACAACATCAGTGGAAATTGATGGCAATGATGATGATGGTGGTGGTGGTGGTTGTGGTGGTAATGATGGTAACGATGATGATGATAATGATGATGATAATAATGATTATGATAATAATGTTGATAAAGATGATCATGAACATGATAATGACGATGATGGTGAGAAGGTGGTTGTATATTATGTATAAGAGGGGTAGGTTGCCTACTTTCTCTGTCTTAACAAAGGTAGTCTCGTCCTTACAAGACTACAGGTTACGCCCCGCTGATGTAGACGATGCGGGTGCCATAATTTAAACTTCTCTAGGGGTTTGAACGTAGTATCTAGGCTCATGCCCTTGGAGGCCCTTCCCCTCCCCATTAACCGCCCTCCCCGACCCCCTTTTCCGTTTTCTCTGTGTCGGCGACAGATTTAAGGAACAACTCACTAATTCGGCCCAAACACAAAGTGATTGGCTGTTCGTTCATTCTTCCTGACCGTTCACTAGCCCGACTGTGTCACAGGGGTGTGAAGTTCTTTTGTTTTGTACAGTGGCGGGGCCGAGCAGGGTACGGTTCCTTATTTTGGAGCAACACAGCGTTTTGGGGAACACCGCAAAATGTTAAGAAGTCTTAAACCAAGGGGCGTAGAATTCACTCTCTCGTGAGACCTAGTCTAAGGCTGCCTCCTCCCCCCCACCTCCACCCGGTAAGCAAAATTCGCGCTTGTGAAAGGTTAAGTCGCATCAATAAACGGTCAGTCACGATGTCCCTGGGCCCGAAAACACGAGTTGTACCAGATTTAAAACAAAAATTAAAACCAAGAACTGTTTCAATTATCAAGTACATATTATGACCTTAACGTTATTTTTTAAATTTTAACTTCCCTTCTGTAATTTTTTTTTTTTGTTGTGGGTACTTTTATTTTTAAACTCATAAAAAAAGAAACTCGCGGAATCCCTGGGCGAGTCCAATATTATAGGAGTGTTATAAGTTTGGGTTAGGGTTAGGATCTTTGTCAACCTCGACCGCCTCAGACACCACCGACTTACCCTAACTTTAACCCTAAAGCTGACCCATAACCCTAACTCCAACCCTTAACACCCCTCGAATACTGGACTTTCCCGGGAAGTCGGGGGATTTCCGAATTAAAAATACGCCACATTTGTTTTTTCTTTTAAATTTGCCTTCGTAATCGCCTTGTGGGATGCAATTTTTAGTTGTTTTTTTTTTAAAGCTTTTGCCAGGGGTCGCAATATAGCCTAATGGGTGAACGCAGTTTCTGGGACCTCTGCATGGGCGATCCTCACCTTGTGTCACCGGGTGTTTATCGCTCTGTGTGATGTCCTGGTGGGGTAACATTTATTTACTTACTCCAGCAGAAAGTCTTAGTTGTTGGTCCACATCTGGACTCTTTTTTAAAAAGAAGAAAGAAAAAAGAAAGTAAAAAAAAAAAAAAAAAAAAAAAAAATGTTCCTTCTGTAATTTTTAAAATTTTTTTAAAATTTTCCCTTTGTACGTTTGTTTGACCTTTTTGCAAGTGTCAGCCTCAAAACGTGAATGTGTTTCTCATGCTTTCCTGTTACTGGTACCATCGGAATTTAAACTTGTTGCTTCCTGCTGAAGATGGGGTCGAAGCGCTTATGGGAGTGTCCCAAGTGCTGTAATGTCGATTCTTAATTCAACAACATTCATGCTTTCTTTTGCTTCAATAACCAACAAATCGAGGCCAATGTCCACTTTGTTTGCAGATATCTATCTTCAAGTTGTGCGCAACACCAGAACTCAGGCGCCCGTTACTGATTGCTGTCGCCGTGGGCGTGCAACAAAACTGGAGTGGAGTCATCGGGGTAAACTGTTCCACACACCTAATTATTAAGTCTACATTCCTTTATGTGGAAGACTAGGGGAAGTTTTAAAGCCATTTTAGCTCGATATGTGTTGAGGATATTAAAATGTGCCTTCTGGTGCTGAGAGGCATAGGTTCCCATTGACATGTGTAATCAGGTACAAACGAATGCAGCTTTATGGTCATT